TGGATTAATAGAGATGAATATTAAGACATTGGCAGTTAAAGATGTACATTGAAGTACTATTGGGTTTAGTGGGCGGGGGGAATGTTCTCCAACCATGGACATTCCACCCACTAAACCCAACTTGAATATCATATTCTAGCTATTGATTTGATCCTTAGTCTTTGATATCCAAGGTACTGGAAGCTGCAACTGGTGCAGCATATTGTATCAAGTTCTCTACAGGTAAAGGACAATGAGAACATGGAAAATCAGTATTGCCTGTGCTGATGGCACAAGACACTTCAGGTTGCAGCTTCTAACCTACAAAGCACTAACTGAGCTGGGAGCAGCATATTTTACCAGAGAGACTGAGCAGAGGTTCAAGGTTCATCTGCCAGCCTGTGCAATCAGCCTGGGTTTATAATGGGGACTTTTGAAGGTAGTCCCCTGCAGTGCAAACTCTGTTCTAAACAAGCCTATCAGAATGAGTGTTGCCCAACTCTGGCTTGGGAAATACCTGGAGATTTGGAGGGGTGGAGCCTGGGGGCAGCAGAGTCGGGGGATGGAGAGTGATTCCACAGAGTCCGCCAGCTGAAGCTGCCATTCCCTCCAGGGGAACTGATCTCCATAGTCTGGAGATCAGTTGTAATCCCAGGGGAACTCCAGCCACCACCTGGAGGGTGGCAACCCGAGTCAGAACCCACTCTAATTGCATTTTAGGGTGCAATGTGATGCTTCCATTCTCATAAGGTTTTAGAAATTTCATTAATTAATGTGTGTCCTCTTTAATACTGTGTTTTATTGTGTTCAACCATTTCATTGTTGGCTTTTGTCTTTGTAGTCTGGATGTTATAGAACACTTTTGTGGGAGTAAGGCCCACTGGAAACAGTTTAGTAGGATTGTGCTTCAGATTGCACCCTTAGCCACTTATATGTTTCCCCTAAGAGAATTCATTTCTGAAACGAAATGGACCAAGGCTGCTAGATCTGAAGGAGAAGGGAGAAATTCTGTACTCACTTCAGCTTAA